TCCTTTATCCCTTTCTTTCCCTCGCATAGGAAGAATTATGCTCTCATTAATGCCATTCTTGCTGTATGGACCTGGAGTATGTTACAGTTTCCACTTGATCTTGCAGGTTAGTATTTGCAAACAGACACAAATTGAGTAAAACGAGAGCTTTCCTTTAGAGCTTTTGCTGGCATGTCTTGGGGCTGTGCACACACCACAGGCTGTGACCAAAGACTTCTGATAGAAAGCAATTCACATGAAAAAGCCAATGGTGTTTCTTAAAGAAAACACAGTGTGGTTTCCTGTGAGAAAGCACTTGTTTTACTGGCAGACCTCTGATCTCCACACCAAAACTCCACGTGTCCAGGAAAACCTGAAATTGCATCATCAAGTGTGTTGGAGCATCTGCTCCTGGTTCAAGTTCCCACCTTAAACTTCTCTGAGCTCTTGAGGTAGAGCTGGTCTTGGATTCTAGCATGGCTCCAACCTGGGTAGACACCTGGACTTTATCTCCATGAGAGGCTATCCTTAACCACAGGGAACAGCGCAGCCCAGAGCAAAGATGTCATAGGCTCAGAAGAGAGATTTCTCACAGGCAGCCTCTAGAACCAGGTAACATTGAGACTGTGGATTCTTACCTCAAACTAGAAAGCCTAACGTTCAGCCAATTTAGGCTGATACCTGTCACTAGACAGAAAGAGCTTCTCTAGATCCAGGGAAAATAATGGAAACCTCCTAGACCTTCATCTTCATCAACATTTTAGCCTCCAAATATTATGAGCTTGCAACTCAAATACATGAGAAAGAGATGCTGGTGAGGGTAGCATCTTCAATGAAATTAATGACCAAATTGGCACATTGATTAAATTAACCAATAAAGTAATAATGAAAAATGATTCTTCACAGAGAGCACTAGGCTTTATTTTAAACACTGAAGTTGAGTTGAAATGCTAAATACTTTCTCAACTACTCACTTCCTAAAAAAATTATGAAGCAGCATTTCAAATTTAATGAATTATTACAGCTAGGATTCCTGACACTAGCAAAATACATTACATTAAAGATGTACAACACTTAAAAAGGTATTAAACAGGGCATTTTTTCTGCTTATTCCTTTTCTACTTCCTTGAAAACACACATTTACCCTGAAATTTATTATAATACAATTTTATTTTAGGTAATTCTATATAGCTGCACAGAAATTGCTTTTTATTCAAGCATTGGAATGTTTGCTTGCTCATCAAGCATGGCTTAAAATGGGAGTTTGAGCAGACTCATTATTGAACTACAATAATGCAGTTGGGACAATTAAATGATACAAAAATGTGTTAAAAAATAATTGCTGTTGAATTTTTTCTTAAAGTATGCAGAAAATGCTTTCCCTTTTCCAGAATCCATTTTCTACTTTTCATTCTCGTTTTTTCTCCCTAGTATTGAATTAAACAGTTTTTTGGGGAGGGTAGAGGAGAAGATATAAGTTAAAGCATTTGGTGGTTGTTACTGCATCATAGTAACCATTTAAAAATAAAAAAGGAATTTATGCAGCATGAGAGACAGGTTAGTTGAGCTGCTGGATGCATTTTCATAAGAGGCTGCAACATGTACCATACCTAAACCCTTTAATGATTTATCTCTATGTATGTGTACATATACACATATATTAAAAAAAAATACAGAGTTAGAATCCTTGTTGTGATGTGGTGTCTAGAGATAACTCATTAAAGGGTTTAGGTATGGTACATGTTGCAGCCTCTTATGAAAAACATATGAAAATATTATATATATAAAAAAGGTTAACCACTGGTATAGTTAAGGGGGATGTATCTATGCAAGTTACAATAGTCACATGTGATTTGATACCCGGAAGGCTAAACATTCACAGCAGTAGCTCCATTTTACATGTCAAGCAGGGACCACATTTTCCTCCTAACCACCATGCTCAAAACTCCCCTGGCCAAACATCACTGGTGTTATCCATGATTTGAAGAATGTGACACAGGAAAAGCAATGCTAGCAGGTGAATCTTTTAAGAGCAGTATTGAGGATGCTCTGCAACAAGTGCTGAATGTACTTATAATCCAGGGTTCCTATGAGCTGCCCCTGAGGTCAACCCCAGCTAAGTTGGAGGGAGTTATTTAACCTAAGCATGTTTTACTTCCAGTACAGCACATTGGCTGCAAACCAGCTGCGACAAGCAGGCGAATCCCCAGCCTGCTGCTGTGCAGGTACAGCGCAGAACTGTGGAACATCGGGGTCAGTCTCTTCATTCAGGACGGGCCCTTCTTCATTGTGCGCTCCATCCTGATGGGCCACTTCAGGATATTCAATCAGATGCTGGTGTTTTTTACAGCTAAGAATATCTTAGTCGTGACCCTACAGTTATATCGTTTAGCAGTGATAAGCTTAGACTTTCGGGCTACCTTGCTGCAGAAGAGCAGGAAAGAAGTCAACTGTTGCCCATGTGAGCCTTATGAAGCCTGTGCTCATGCTACTGCCAGCCAGGATACCGAAATGAGGAGGTGTGTTGCTTTTCCTGCCAAAGAGGAGTCCGGAGCACCAGCAGAAGATCAGTGAGCACAGCTACTGACTCGGAAGAGGTTGTTTCCCCCACACCGCCTTTGAAAGGGCTTTGAAAAGGATTTCTGAGATCTGAGCCTTTGTGCATCTTTTTAATCTCTTCCATCAAGAGATCAATGATTTCTTCTAAAGTATAGGGGGGATTCCTGAAGCAAAGCCATAGACCTGGGATATTTTATGTCCTATTGGATTTTGGTGGTTTTGACTAGATCTCCATTATATCAATTACAGGAATTTTGTAGCCATAGTTTGTAGTAGCAAGAAAGATTTAGAATGTAACAAAGTTGGATATTATCTTTGCTGGTACAGCACTAACACGTATTCACGTAGAAGGACAAGCCTATCCTGCGACAGGAAACATGGAAGCAGTTAGCTTTGCTTCCCAGTTACCAACATGTTCTCCAGGCACAGGAATAACCTCAGCAGTGCCAACGCAGCAGACATGCAAGTGAGCGCGGGCAAAACATTTCTACTGTTACTGACACCTAACGTTGTTCATTCAAGAACTACACAAAGGGTTTCTTTGAATGTTACCTCATCCTTGGCTGGATTCAGTTAAAGAACTATGCAGCACCATGCACAAAACCTCCTCTTAGGACACGTGTGGTCTGAATCATCTAAAGATTTTTGTGGAGGCGCCGCAAGGTAAGACTTAGCCCCACAGCTTTAGAAGACAACTGCACCTGCCACACAGGCAGAACACAGGCTCCAGAGGTACTTGCCTTCCTATTTCTGCTAGTCAGAAAGCAATTGTTAAGACCTTTTTCTCCAGCTTCACAGTAGATGTGAAGTGACCAAAAATAGTTCTGTTAAAATTCCCCAAAATAACAATATTAATAAAAAGAACTAGATTCCTACTATCTGAAGACAGAATCAGCTCTGGGGCACACACAAGAATGCTCCTACCACCACTGCAGTCCTACACTCACTTATCAATAGCCAGATAAGCAATGACATATTTACTTGGAAAGAGAAAACTGAACCTACTTAAAGGTTCCAAGCCACAGACATGTGAACCTGTGCTTATATTTGTGAACTGCTAACCCTTCAAGTTCTTCCATTATAGCAGAGAGTAGAATATGTACAGACATAAAGAAGGAAAAAGGAAATAAGGTTAAAAAAACCTCACACCCCACCTAGTCCATTCCACCATTTATCTTTAGTAATAACATGTAAGCACCTCCCGCTCTTCTCATTTTGGGCTGCTATCCAGTAAAAACAAGAAAATTGCCAATGATCATTCGCAATGCTGCAGCAAGGTGGACACATGGAGAGGAACACAATTTCACTTGGGAATTTAATTCAAGTCTAGAGGTGAAAAAACAGAGTGGTGCTGCCAACCAGCTGTGTTATCTAAAGCCTCTCACCTCGAGGTGAATGTTGAAGCAGCTGCTAGGGCTGCAACATCTCTCTGCCTTTTTGCTGGGAGCCAGGAGCATTTGCATTCATTTTGAGTTTATCCCTTGCTGATATCCTAATTGTCCCATTAAAAGGATCCTTGTTAATGAACGTGGAGTATGCCAAGCTTCCTAGAAGATCATTCCAAATTCTTGAGCACAGTAACTGCAGGACATACTGTTTTGAACTTACTATTTAAAGGCTTAGCTTAGCAACAGGCTGCCAGCCTGCAGCAAGTCGCAGATGTCCTGGGCCAGCAGCACAGAGATGGGCTCTTGCAGGAGCGTTTTCCACAGAACTCCATTCCTCCTACTCGGACTGCTCTGCTTCAGCACCCGGGAAGTTTCCATCTGCATAACCAGGAGAACTCAGGCTGCTGCTAGGTCCCACAGACAAAGTCGCCTGCTTCAAAGCAGAGGGTGAGTGTGGTGCTGCGCACGATGACGGACCGCCAGCCACGTGCAGCCCTCCAGGCTCGTGCCTCCAGGCACGGCACCACGCAGGCACCCAACGGGCCTCCCTGCAGATCTGCCAGGGATGGTGCATGTCTGAAGAACACCCGGGGTCACGTTTGCTATTCAGAAAAAGCTGCAATAACCTTTGAGCCCTTGGAAAATTCAAGCCTTCAAAATGCAACGACTGCAGAACATCTCCTTTAGCCATTATTCACTCTTCCAGGAGAATTACATTATGAAATCTTTGATGCAAATTGATATCTAACCATTTACTATTATTTATTCTAGCTGTTCCTGTGCTGTCCTTTTAGGTTATTCCATCTTAAACCTCACCACAATACTTTACTACTTGTCTCTTCCTGAGCTAAAGTATATTCCTCCTTTCCTTTGGAAATTGGCTCAAGTAAGATCATAGCCCTAAGTCTAGAAAACAAATAGTAGCAGCTATGACTTTATTGTGTTTATGTTGGTATTTGTACTATACTATATTCTCTGGGACCATGTGGAAATGGAAGAAAATGTGCAATTAGTTTTTTAAAAATTTCCAACTGTTTGTTGTGAATAAAAGGCAGTTACCTCAGGCATAGCTGCCAACTTATTATGTGCGAACCGACTGTTTTATGTTCCTATTAATTACGTCTTCCACAGGCTGCTTTAAGCAGTTAATTGCTTGAGTAAGATTCGAACTGCATTGCTGCTTGGAAAATCCATCGCGACTGCCGTCAAATCCGTTCCTACTCTGGAAAGTTTCTTCTCTAAGCAGAAACTCCAAGTATGCGAGGCACAAAATAATTCCAGAGAGTTTTTCTTTTTTGTTTTTTTAAAGTATCTGCATTCAGGATGCATTTTACAGATGCACACAAGTATATATCACATGGACATGTAGATACCCATACACACCTGGCAATGCCTAACACATCCAGCTTTTGTTTTTATTATGATGTGTGAGTTTGCTAATGGAAACACTCTGCGGATGTCTAACACACTCACAGAAGTGCCTACAACATTAAAAATATTTTAACTTTAGGGCTTTAAATATTAAGCACATGCTACTATCTGAACAACATACTGATTAAATTTTTTTTTGTAAATTCCCAGGAATGTATTATTGCCAGATTTCTTCAGTTAATGAAAGCTACCTCTAACCTTTGGAGGTGATTACTAAGATCGATGTATCCTGCCTGGCTATGCACAGGGCTGTCCACTAAATTACTTAGTATGATTTTTCCTGACATTTATACAGTATCATTTAAAAACACTGTACAGAAGGATCCCTGTTCTTCCCTTGATCTGACCAGAATGTCAGGCTTGATTTTTGACTGACCATTTGCAATCCTCAAACATAATGAACAACAAAACTAGAGACATTTCAAAGGATAAATTGGGAGAAGCCCTGGAGTCAGCACAGAAACAAAAGCAGTAAAGAGAGCGGGAACGGTATCGGAGGAGCACACAAGAGTTCTCTGCAACAATGGAGATTAAGGCAGATTGTAAAACAAACGTATTGCTCATAACAGGAAAGCTGGGAGTTACAGGATGACATTGTCCATTTAGGAGGGGAGATATAAAGGGGAAAGCCATGTCTAGTAAAACAAATATCTGAAGATTAAGTATTTAGGAGAGCTGCCCATCACCAATCTACCAAGCAGCATTAGTCTCTCCTAAGCAAGTGGGATGAGTTTTCCTAGTTCAGTCTCACAGCCGTACAGCTTAACGAACAGCACATTAAACCCCACTGCCGAATACGGAGAGGGGAAGTGACTGTCAGGTAGAGGGGGGTGTTCAAGCCCTAATGCCTTCTGTCTAGAGTTTCTGCTGCAGGACTCCTTGGGCAGAAGTCAAACCCAGGGAGAAAGTTCAGGTTTAAACTTGGTTATTGTCACAAAACTGCATATCCAGGAATAGCATATTTTAGACTCTAAATTTATAGTGTGTACATTTATAAGTTTATAGTGTGAACGGCTCCTTACATCATCCGAAAGGAATGGACAGCTGCAGTGGAATAACGAGCTTCCAAGAAAGTTAATGCTTTGGAAATTACCTGCCTTGGAAATAAAGTATGATCAGCCTGTTTTCTGAGAGAATCTTGCATAAAAGCATCTGTGCCTGATACAGTGCATGACCTATCTTTAAGGGCTATTTTATAATATCCTGCTCCATGTTTTTAAATCAGCTTTTAGTGAGAAGTATAGGAAACAATAATGCTAATTTCTGCCTCATTTAAAAACTTTGATAGGAATATACATATAAAAGACGTGTATAATATCCATGAGCTGTTAATACAGGAACTCGAAGGGTGCTCGGTCTGTCTGGCAGGTAGAACCTAAAAAGCTGCAGGCAGCCGTTTCCTCCCAGGCTCACTGAGGTCCTTTCCCCTCCTCTTGGATTGGCTTAAGGTGGAAATGGGGCAGTAAGAAGCAAATAAGGACTTGAACTTTTATCTCATCCACTCCACCCTGCTGTTCTCTTGATGTCTAAGCTCCAGCCTGCTTTTTGTGCCTATCTGCCAGATCTGAGTACAAAGACAAGAGATACCAAGCACTGAACTTCCCCCAGCTGCCTGCGAAAGCCTCTGCAAAAGCACATAAGAACTCAGGCCAAGCTTAGATTAAGATGAGCCAAGCCTACTTCCTCTTGTTAAAGCCTGAGGATATCTGCAGCTGCCAAAGGGCTTCCTCTATTTGTCCATCACCTGCTACAAAGAGAAGAGTATTTTCCTGCACAGTCCTTCTCTGAAGGACTAGTTGATTGAAATGCCAGTGCCATTTCTTACAGCACTATGGATTAGTATCTACTTCAAAAATGTTTTAAGGTTAAACAAGTCTCTGAAATGAGGCTGTCAGACTGTAAAAAGTAACAAAGCAAAAGGAAGGGACAATATAAAGGAGATGTCATAAGACAGCATTTCTAACTCTGGGAGATGGGAAGGGGCTCCAAGTCAAGAAGATGGACATGCATGGATAACATCTACAACAACAGCTTGGAAGACAGGAACTGAAAATTACTCTAAAAACCAACAACAACAACAAACAAACAAAGCCACCAAACACTCCCCCAAACACTTCAGTCTCTTATATACTTAACGAGTAACAACCTGGAAGAATCAGACAGGCTGCATACAATACTATTACCATCTAGGCCTCA